TCTTAAAATGTGTATATATTTTTTTGGCACCCTCTGTGTATATAGTCACAGGATGTGGAGCACAGCATAGGGAATAGAGTCAATGGAATTATAACAGCTATATACGATGTCGGGGGGGGTAGTAGATTGGGGGAGGGGGCTATCACTTTGTGAGGGGTGTAAAATGGCTGTTACGCTGTTTTGTACACCTGAAAGTAATTAAATATTTTTAAAAAAACAGTATGGAGGCTCCTCAAAAATCTAAACTAGAACTACCGTATGATCCAGCAATTCCACTGGTGGGTATCCGAAGAAAACAAAAAGGAAAAATAAAGTCACTGCATTAAAAAAAGACCAGGTATACTGCAGTATGTGCCCCTGAAGTACTAAATGAAAGTAGTGGCTTTAGAATAATAAAACCCACTATACTCAGTGTTAGTGATCCCCGTCTCATTTACGTAAAACTAAAAGCAAAATATTGCATTAAAAACGTTATCTTTTTTACAAAACCCGCTTCTTTGTCTCTAGAATGAGCTTAGAATCAAGCATTAGGTCCTCAGCCTCATCTTGGATTTCAGCAAGTTTTGTAGCACATTTAAGATGGCCATTTTTCGGTAAGGACTTTGTCATTATTTAGAATCACGGCTGCTTGCCATTTCCCCCAGTTATTATTCACAAGAGATTTACTTTAAGAAGTTCCCTGAAAAATAAAGTTTAGTTGTAGAGTTATAAAAATCAAGGCCAGTTGCACTCTAGAAATGAAAACTGCTTTCAGTGTGCAGGAGTCTATTGCTTACATTTAGATTTAAAAAAAAATCATATGCCTAACTGTTTTCACTCGAGGTATACTGTATTACGGAAACAAAGATTGTTATGGTTAAAAAAAGGAGGCCTGGCTGATTTTGACAACAAAAGACACATGTCAAAGAAAGACGTCCATAGACAGATGGCTTCCCACATTCTCTATCTCGTCTTTCTAGGAACAGAGGTGCTCACAGAAGACTCTTGCAAGAGATCATGGACTAATGTTCTTCTTTTAAATAAACAAAGGTGTTTCTAACCTTTTCTCTTTGAAGGTGTGCTTTTTCATGATAAAAATCATAGAATTGGATGAAATTGCTGAGGAAAGCCCTGGGAACTATATTGGCAAAGAGAACCTGGATGACAGACCAGACTTCAATTGTCCAGAACAAAACAGGCAAGTGGCAGAAAAATACTCACTGGTTTCCATTTCTGGGATTAAAAACAGTAACTACGTACTTCCAGCGAAAGAATGTTATTTAGGGAGATGAAAGACATCTTTACAGGAAAAAGAGGGTGTTGTACTAGATTTTTTACAAGAACATAGGAAATTAAGAGAGAGAAGCTCAATGGTTGAAGTCAATTTAGAAACAATGCAAAATGTTTTGATTTTGCAAAACGTTTTAGTGCTCAAGCTGGCAGAACTTCACTGGTTCACTATTAATTATATTTAATAATCTAAAATGCTCCTGAACTATAAATTATGTATCAGAATGATTTATTTTTAAAATTTTAATCATGAATATAAAATGAGGGGAAAGAGGATACTAAATAGTTATATCTACTTCCTAAAAGGAAAGACATGAATATTGCACGCTTTAATACCTTTTTGTAAATCAGATTATATTTAAGATATGTAAATACCATTTATAATTGGAAGGAATTTTGTGCTAAATCTTACCGACACAATTGGCTTAAATACTAGTTTGACCACACTTTCTAGCTGTGTGAACTTGGCCAAATTATTTACCTTCCTGTGTCTCTGTTTTCTCATCTGTAAATTGGGTCTAAGGACTGCTTTCTCATCAATTTACTGTGAGGATTAAATGAGATAGTAGGAAGCACCTGACTGAGGGCCAGGGACATAATCAGGGCTTTTTAATTGATAGTAATTCTTGTTCCTTACCATTCTGATACTAATCAACTATAGCACGCATAACCATTTCTATTTCTTTAGCTTGAATTTTTATATATAATTAATTTTTAAAATGGGATGATGAATTTTAGTCTTCCCCCCCAATTAAATATTTCCCCTAAGTTAAATACTAAATATTCTCCATCTTTTTGCAGAACTGCACTTTAAAGATATTTATTATCTATTGTGAATTATTAGGACTTTGTCTCTAAACTCATGCACAAAGTACTGCTATTTAAATACTTGTTAACCTAAAAAGAAGGCTAGACAGAACATAAGAAATGGCCAGCTTGTCACTCTGGATGATATATTGATGACATTTGAATATTCTGTGGGACTGTTCAGGAATCTGAACCTTTGGAAAAATCTGTACACTCTGCATTCACACATACACAGTCATTTAATTACTGGTCACAGTTTTGTCAGAATTCCCATACCGGTTGAGGCAAGGAGTGTGTTCATAATAGATACTGTTGGACTCTTATCACTTACACATCACAGGAAATCAAAACAAAAAGTTGCAGCTAGGAGTACTCAGGCACAGTCAAAAATTCAAAGAGGATGTTCTTTGCAGGGAGCAGCCTAATTCTTTTTGGTTTAGGGTGTGTGTGTCCCAAATAAAAATAATAACATACAAAGATAAATAGTGGAAATAATTTTAACTGTTCTTCAAAGAGCGCAAATACTCTTAGTTCTATTACTACTTTCGTTCTCACCTCAAACCAAGAATTCCTTCACTTTTACCATGTTGCGTTCACTCACACCAACCAAGCACCTAAGAAACATACCGCTCAGAAAGGTCTTGAAAGGGACTCACCCGCAGAGACCGTGGTGGGGCCCAAAGCATTCCATGTGTTCCCTGCATTTTAAGTCACCACTTCGCTAAGCATCCTTCTGCCTACCACAAGCTTAAAGGTCACATTTTGGCAATCTTCTCCTGCAATTAAAACTTTTTGGTGAATACTGGAGAGAGAAGGGCTAGCCTGGAAGGCAGACCCCCACCTGGGCCACACTGGCATGAAATGCTGCTCTTCAGTGAGTTCTGCGTTGCTCCGAGGTGCAAATCTATCGCAGGCCCCTCGAGCCACTATGAGAGTCTGTCTAGGAATGGCACGAGGACTCCAGGGGCTTCCCCAGATGTCTGGGTTCCCATCAGGCATCCTCTTTAACTCGCCAGGGTTGAGCCTTGGGTATTCTAAATGACGTCTGGGGAAGATTTCATTTTATGCAGACAGCCCAGAGGGCTAGCAGATCTACCTAATGACAATGGTGGCTGGCCATTGGTGAAGTTGGAATGTCACAACTATTGCTTAAATGACAAATACTGCTGAGCATCAAGGTCTCCTGGATCTAAGTGTGCGTGGGTGCCCACCAGTACCAATCACATGTGGGGAGCATATAATCCTGGGCACACTGTGGATCTATGGGTATAAGGGAAATAATCTATTCTTTAAAGGACTGGGGTCAGCTTCTATGTTTCTATGGGGATTCAGAGGCAGTGAAAGTGAAGTACATCAGCTTTAGACTCTAAGAAGGCTGACCATGTGTCATGCTTAAGGCTGCATTTATGTCCTGGTGACTTCTTGTGCCACTTCTGGTATATACTATTGGGTTGTCGGAAAAGTCAAGATGTATTTTTTCTATGTTTTTCATTGCAAAAATGTATCATGACTTTTCTGACAACCCTATAGAACAGTCCAGAAGAACTAGGTTGTTGCATCTTTTATGGAAATACACAGTAATTTCTATGAGAGTGTGGGGAAGGGAAGGGAAAATTGTTCTATTAATTAAACTCATAAAATATTTAATGCTCTTCAATTTAAGAAATATTTATAGAGTACGACTATGTCAAGAGTTAGGGAGTTGTAAAATATTCTGAAGATAGAGTGTCAAACCACAAAGCAAAATAAGATCCCTACCTGTCTGCAGCTCACACTTTACCGCTGAAACAGACACATATATGAATAATGTATTGCACACTCTGTCTTATGGGTTTTACATATCCTAACTAAATCTAATCCTTAAACTAGCCCAATGAGCGAGGTGCTAGTATTATCCCCACTTACAGATAAGGAACGAGAGAAAGGTAAGTAACTTGTTCAAAGCTACAGAACCGGTAAGCGGCGGGTCAGGCTCAAGAGTCCAAGCTATTTACAACAACTTCTCCAATTAAAGTATCAGTGAGTGCTCCTGTAACTGAACCCTTACAAACAGGGGAAATAGAAAAGGTGGTGCATGAACTGGAGTTTGAACAGTAAGATGACAGTAGGGATGAAGTGCTGGGGGTGGCCAGAGAAAGTTCAGCAGGCTAACATGACCCCAGAGTAAGGCGTGCGAGTGGGAAAGACGGGACACGCAGGTTACGGCGAGGCTGTGGAGACCCCGAGTGCCAGCCGACGAAGGTGGCCCCCTCATCTTTCCTCCTTTTAACAATGCAATAACGCACATGAATGAGAAAGCGTCTGCTACGGGAAGTGGCGGGGCTACACCTGAAGGGGTGCAGAGGAATAAGAGGAGGAAGGATGTGTGAAGCGGCCTCTGGTTGGGTGGCTCCCTCCTTCCTTTCCGAGCGTCTCAAGGGAGGCCAGGCGGCGACCTCCAGTCCTGATAAAAACAAGGCTCTGTGCTCTGGGGCAGCCAAGAGTTCCCAGGCCAGCTCAGGCCAACCCGCAGAGCCTTTCTGAAGTGATGTGTGGAAGGTTCTTAGGTTGCGTCCAGGCTCAGGTAGCACGGTTTTACTAACCTGGACATGTCTGCTGTGGGTGCAGACGGCGGCATGAGCACAGCACATGTGTTATCTCTGCTCTGGGGGATGGCAGCATGCCTTCCTGTCGCCAAGCAGCAAACCAAAGTCTACACGCCATGGAATCCAGCCATCCATGCCCCCTGGGCTTACGCATGCCCCTCTTCAAAAAGATCACTTCGTAGTTAAGCCTGCACTGCCCTTTTTCAGTGCTTACGGTTCTGGACACATGCGCGAGAATGTGTTTCAGAGACACAGAACTTGTGGAAATGACCCAGCTCTGAGAATGTGGAGGCCTCGGAAGACCTGACCAGCACCAGACGTGCCGCCTGGAGTGCTCACCTTTTTTGCTCCTTGTTCCTCTTCCACACCATCGCCTATAACGACGTACACCACTTTTCTTCCAAACCTTTGAATTATCCTCTCAAAACAGCTTTCTTTTCCTAAGGAACAAAAATAAATTATAAAAAATGTCAAGTCCTGGGAACCCCAGTGCTATAGAGCTTGACTTTTCTTATACGAAATGCTTTTCTCATACTTGTAACTCAACGCTCACCTACTTGTGTGACTAGGAGGGTGCTTTTGCACGCCATCTGGGTCACATGTGGAAGAGCTTAATACATTAAAATTGTAACTTAGTTACTCAGGTGTCCCATTTCTTGGAAATTGACCGTTTTAGTACTCTTTGCCCAAGGATTCGCTTATTAAATAGCAGGTTCTAGTCACTCACAGTAGTGTTGGAGGGAAAAAGGACTGCTTTGCAGTCGTACCTACAAGCTGAGATTAAACAGGCATGCAATTCGGCAACATAGTTTCAAAATGTTCCCTGCTCTATCAAACTCTGAAAATGATGCTGATTCAAAGGCAATATTGAGAAGGATGGAGAACAATGGGGCACCACACACTGGAATGAGTTTCCCCCTTCATTTTCAGGTTGGGAGTCTTTGGGTCGTCGGGAAAGTCATGACATATTTCTCTATGTTTTTCAATGCAAAAATCTGTCATGACTTTCCCAACAACCCAATATTGGGATTAAAGACCTCTTCGAAGCCTAATGTTTACCTGAAATATTCTCGTAAACCTGTTTCTGAAATAAATGTCAGGTAATTGGTGGCCCTACAGGGAGGTCATGCTTGCCGTACCCAGGCATCTGATGTTCAATAAAGCTCCTTCCTAGAGGAAGAGCGGGTACAGGTAACAGAATACCTTTATCTATCTATTCTTTCTCATGTGCATGATTTGGCTACACTGTCAGCACATCCCTGCAGTTAATGCAGCCATTGTTGCTTCTTAGAGAAGAAACTGGTGTTCCAGGTCCTGGGCTGCCAACAGGGTCATTTTAATGGACAATGGGGCAGTTTATAGCTTTCAAATGTGAATGGCTGAGCGAGGACTGCATCTCTTTCAAATAAGGATCAGATATACATGCGGACAAATTGCTTGTTTGCTTAAACAAATGTCTGCTTTATATTTGTATTTTGCACTAAAATCTCTACTTTGCATCTGACTGAACGAAATAGGGCCAGCCGTATTCAAAGGATGTAATTTCAATGCTTCTTTAGGTGCCCACTAAACTGTGAAATATTAAATCATTTTAAGAAACAAATACGAAGTATAGTGTGCACTGCAAAAATATACAACCCAAAACTTGGATGTCATGAAACATTTTCCCTCCTTAGAGGAACATGTTAACGTGTTTTTTGCAAAGTTTCCTTTTCTTGGAAAATGGGAAGGCAAACTCAATGTTTTGTAAAGGTGAAGCAGTGGTGAACAAAACAATTCCAACCCGTATACCATCTCCCATAGGCTTCAATGTGAATTTGGGGTCATGTAGACAGTTCGCACAATAAAGACTAAAAAACATGGAAGCTGAGTTTGAGAAGCTAACTGAAGGTCTTATCTGAAGTTTTCTTTTTGATAAACCCGTTGTGTTGAAAGGACATCCTAGCTGAGCTACATGAGGTACCAGTCACCTTTTCCTGTGACTCTGCCATGTTGTCTACAAGAAAAATTCCTGGGTTTTCTGCATGGACCCCCAAATTATATCTCATTTTATGGCAAAATTAGCACTATAGGAGTTTTAATCTTAATTTTTCTTATTAAAAATATCATACAACGGTATCCTACTGCTGGTTTTGGGATTATTTCTATACCACCACATATTTTTAATTCTAATTTTTATTCTGTGCTGACAAAAACAAAAGTCCAAAATTACAAACAAAATCCCATTTAAAAACATGTGACTGTCATTGTAATTTCCTGTCATCCTAACATTTTCAAATGATTTGGGATTAAAGGTCATTGTGCATGACATGTAATACACTGTTCTTTCTTTCTGGGAAGTTAAGCACTACCCCTTCTGTCTTATATGCTTCTTTGGAATTTGTTCTGACTTTCTGAATTTGTGCTGATAAACCTTTACCTTGGGTCCCTGTTTACAAAACACACTATGAATCCTCTTTACTGATACAGAGAGGGTAAACACCTGACTTAATGTAAACTGACTGCTATTTTTATGGAACATGAGAACATATGAAAATTCTGGTTTTATCAGGCTACCCGGAGTTCTATTCTATTTGGTAGCTTCCTTTATTTTAATAAGAATTTCCCCGCATTCTGTTCTCAAACGCCAACTATTTCCAGCTTCACAGGGCTATTGGAATATCCCAATAGTTCTTTAAACTCAACATTGATAAGATCAAACCTTTGTCTTTCCAATCAAACCTGATTACCCCATCAGTTAACAGTGTCACCACTGACCAGATGCCTAAAGAAACCTCAGTGGCAGCCATTTTATTCATACATTTCATTCAATAATCACCGAGCCCCTACAATGTACTGGGCACTATAGCTACAGTGATGAGTGAGAAGACAGACTTGACTATCGAGAATATTATAGTCTGATAGGAAGTCAGACTATGAGCAAATCATTGTATAAGCAATTTGCTGGTGATGATTTAGTGAGTGCTTTGAAGGAAACGTATAAAAGTGGAGACTTAGACCTACAGGGATTCCATTTTTGCCCCCTTTTCTTTAGAGTTGAGCAGCCAAAAACCACCTTTTCCCCACCTACCGGGATACTCCTCCCGCTTCCTCAGGACTCACTGACATCTCATTAGGATGACATACAAGCCATGCATGAGGAGACCCAGGTCTACCTCTTCAGCTTCCCATGAGCACTGCACATCAGTAACCCAGCGCCACTCAAAAGTCCCTCAGAAAGGAGCATGTTTTAATTTCTCTGTCCCTTCGTTCTCATCAGCCCATCAGCCTAGTTAAAAGGAAACTCGTATTTACCTTCCATACCCAGCTAGGATGTCATTTCTCCCCTTTGACTTTCACCTACACTTGACCTCAGCCTCCTTCCGGGTGGGAGTGAATGCTTTCCACCTTCTCACTGGTGTGCCCATTCAGGCACTTAGTGGTAGAGCCCCCAAGGGTGTGGAAAGATGCCAGGACCTTGGAATCAGAGATACCTAGTTTGTTCCTTATCCTTATTAGCTATTAACTGGAACAATTAAGCCTCTAAGCTTTACTTTCCTCATTTGTAATATGGAAAGGTTGTGAGAGCAATTTTAATATGTAAAATGCTTTGTATAGTTCTGGGAATCTAATAAATACTTGCTAAATACTCCTTTATATACATCTTTATCATATTACATTTATTCAGATGCCTGCTTCCCCCGCTAGATAGTGAATTCTCTTAAGAAGAAGAGCTATGCCTTCTTTTTTTATTTAATCCACTTTTATTCTGTCTTGGTTCATATTCTAACTAAATTTCACATTAGTGTTCTTTCTCCACCTATGCCTATGTTTCCTTCTTGCAAAACTTAATTTTTTTTGTATCCCCATAACAAAAATGGGAACTCAACTGTGTATGCATTTTGAATTAAACCAAAAAAATAGTTAATCCAGAACTGATGCTAAATTGACTGTCACAAAAATGCACAGATTTAATGTTAGCCAGTAAAGTGAAATTTTCTGAATAAAACTATGTGGATTATGTTTTATATTTCTCTTCATGTCTAGAGCCAATTTTGACAATACAATAAAATTATTCTAGTGTTTCTGACATCCAGAATTCTGAAAAAAAGTTTGTCTTTTTTACTGCCTTTCATTTTTACCCGCCTAAAGAAGAGTGGATTGTAAAACAAACCAAAACAAAACAACAGCTCACCTATTTTAGTTGCACTGTAAATATTTTCTATTGGAAATACAATTCCTAATCCATAGAGCAGGACTTTCGCCAATGCTGGGATAAGCTGAGTAGTTGTTACTAAAATATTCACACAATTCGTCCTATGACAACAGAAAGAAGAAGAAGAAGAAAAAAAGACCGTTGACAAATCTCCAAAATGAAGAAACACAAGCACAGCTAATTTTCCAGCAAAGGCACCAAGAGGGACTTGGGGGGAGCTTACCGGGAGTGAATGAGCGTGAGTGCTTTCAAGGCCAGTGTCAACCAGGAATCCGTCAGGGCTTCGATCTCGGCCCTCAGCTGCAGCCACGCTTCCCGCTTGGCCGGACCTAGCAGACCTGTGGATTTAAAAGCATGAACTACTTCCTCACCAATGTGACTGTTCAACTTTATAAATAATTAACATTCAGTGATACTCTACTACCACCCACAAGCTTTATAGTGCACCAGGTAACTTTCTCCATATTCGCATTCATTTGATAAATATTTAGTACTGCAGGAAACACCTATTGAGTTTGCATTCCTAGCATCCCTCTTTCTGGTTAGAAGGCATCTCTTCTTCTTGGGGAGCCTCCTTGCACCCATTCCTTGAACCATCTAGTGTGGGCAAAGCTAACCCTCCCCTCTGGCTCCCAGGGCAGGCATAGGACCATGGCTTGGCCAGTGCAAGTCCATCTTGGAACTTTTGCTGAATCTATTGGGAAAGATATTTTCCCACCCAACGGAGGTACTAAACTGGTAGAATATAAACCTGAACCTACCAGTGGTCCTTTTCGCCACCTTCTGGGAGGCAGTGACCTAGAATGACTCCTATCCAAAGGAAAGGTGAGGCAAGAGATTCCTGATGCCATGATTTGAGCCTCTGATGCAGCTATGCTGGAAACCAACACCACCCCCAAACTTTTCATTCTTAAGCCAATATATTCCCTTTCTCGCGGAAGCCATCTCAATTCGTTTGGGCGAGGGTTATTTATCCCACTGCCCTGGAAGAACAGTGTATGTCAGAGAAGTCAAGGTCACACCTCGACTGGTACGTAACGGGGCCAAGACTAGACTCAGCTGCGTCTAGGCTAACATTTTTGTCACTAAATCACAGTAGAATAATTACTGGTTCAATGACACTGTCCTAAAAAAAGCTATTATAGCCCAAAAAAGTGAGACAGACAGACGAGTGTGCGGTACTTTGAGAATTTCACGTAGACGGTCTTAACTACCCCAGCAAGATATTGGGGACAGCCACTCGCCTCCGACATTATTCTTGTAAGTGTTGTAGATCTCTTTTACGCGTCTGTAGCGGAAAGCCAACTTCCTCATCCAGTCTACACCGCCCCGCACGCCGGTTGCCAAGCATAAATTAGCACTGGTGGCCGCAGCAGGAAAGCCATCTGTTCCAAAGTTATATGTGCTATTTAGATACAAGAGAAGCCCAAAGTTAACCAAAGTTCATCTTAATTAGCGGAGCTGTTAAACTATAAAATGGAGACAACCACGCCACGTCCCTATGGACTCACCTCAGGTCCTGGCCGTTATCATCTGAGGAGACATCATCTATATGAACTTGGTCACATTCCTGAAATGCAATTAAAATGATACATGTCAATTTTCAAAAATCATTTCCGTTTTTTTGTTTGTTTGTTTCTTTTTGAAAAACCACACATGGCTATTTAAATCCCCACCCCACCCCCAACTTTAATTGGACTGGTTTCCTAATTGGACTGGTTTCCAACTATGTCAATCAGTAGGTGGCAGTCTTGTTAAAATGACATTTTTACCTACTTCAGGTCCTCTTTTAATATAAGAAACAAGCGGTGTCATTAAGGACTACTGTTATTCAGCTTCAGAAAACACATTTTTGTGTTTAGAAAGGAAAGTGATTGAAAACAATTAGCATATGTGTTCCATAAACCTCAGGTACCTGAAGACATCATGCTGCTCCAAGCTGATTCAGTCAAGGCCTCCGCATAACTGAAACCAGACATTTCAGTAAATGTAACATGCTAGAAAAATTAAACCTGATGCTAACTGCCAATGAAATTATGACCTCTGATTGCTGTCGAGCCACACACCAACACAGCCTGAGGCCAGTGTGCCGACGAGCCCAGACAAAAAATCTGTTACTGGTTTGCCATTGATTTGAGAGATGTGAGTTTTATTCTCTCTCATTCTCTCTCTCTCTCTCTCTCTCTCTCAATCTCTCTCTCTCTCTCTCTCTCTCTCTCTCTCTCTCTCTCTCTCTCTCTCTGAGGAAAAAAGCATGGGAGACCTCAAAATTTAAATAGAAACAATCAAACCATGCAATGTTTTAAATTTTTTTTTTACTCTGTTTGTCTGTTCGTTTCATTATTGTTACATTTTCGTTTTAAGTACTGGGTTTATGAGTTGATTATAGAACACTGTTATTTGAACAGACCTGATTTGGAAATCGCAAGCCATGTGTAAACTTTAGAAGAGGAAGCCGTACTGTGGGCTGACGCTAGGTTGGACCAAGTTCATGCTTTTGCACCTGTTAGCACCTGAGCATCCTGTTTCCTACCTCTATGTCCCCAGCCCCTAGCATCATTGTGAGAAGAGATCTCACAGAACTCAATAAAGCAAGAACTCAACAAATATTTGTTGCACAAATGAAAGCACATTCATTTGGAGACGGCCACAGTCTCCAATCTAGAAACAAGTAACACACACGTGGCGTGCTTGGATATTTTAGTCATGATGCTTCTCTTCACAGTCAGGCTCCAGGTACCCTAGAAGCCTCTATTATATGTATTTCCATGAAAAGTTCTAGTTAAAAAAAACATTAGTAAACTAAATTTCCAGGCATGCATCCTATATTTTACAAAGGTCCTTCTGGCTAAAGCTCTGGTCATATGTCCTACATAGTTCGTTTTATAAAATCTAACCTATGCTGATAGCGCTGAACGTCAATTTGGAACAAAGATGACATACGTAAAGCACCGCCGTAACAGAAGGTGTATTTTTTATGTTGCTGGTTCCTTCTGAACAAATTCTTTTCTCTCCATGGATTTGTGAGGAAGGGAGCAGGAGATAGAAGTGGAAAGAAACTCAAACCAGCTGTTGCCTAACAGAATTAAAACCCTGACCCCCAACCTCTTCTCTAAAGCATCTATTTTCCAGGCAGCCCTCTCCCAGCAAGCAGCAAGTTCCAAGGAGGAAAAGACTTTGACCTTGTAACCCACCCCTGCTCTGCTGAGGTCCGTAACCTCAGATAAGAAAAAAGGCAAAGCAAGTCCAGGAGGCCTCATGTGTGGACGGTGAATTTCACATTTTAAGAACAGGTCATTCCTGGAAAACATGTTTGGGAACTTCTCAGCGTTTTTCATCTGGTCGTGGTTCAGAAGACAAACGCTAGTTGTGTTGTTTTGACAATGTACTTATTCTGGGTTTACAAAGTTACTAAACTATGAGTAAGAATTGCTGCCATTTATCAAGTCAGAAACACATTTTTTTATGTTGTTCGTAAATGACTCCTGTAGCGTGCCTGGTTAGTTTTTTTTTTTTTTTTTAAGTGAATCTCAGAAAAGCTCCCCCAAACAAACAAACAAACAAAACCAAAAAGCCATAGCGATTTTCTCTCTTGGGAGAAAGAACAGAGAGGAGGAAGAAGCTGAAGAATTAGAAGGGGAAAAGGTATGTTAAAAAGAATTTAATCCAAGGACTCCAAATTGACCTAAAGTTACTGGGCTGACTCCATGAGCGGGGAGAAGGGGGTGCAGTTGTAAAGCACCATTACTAACAGAAGCCAGTTATCTAACAGGGATGGTTAGCGAGTCCATGTGGCTGGTTTCCCATGGCTTGTGTTTGCTTTCTCCTGAGAGCCTGGTTTGAGGCTTTCTGGCCCCGGGGCTGAGGCCCTCACTTGGAGAATTGTTCAGTAGCTTGGTCAGCTCTAACTGTCAAAGGCTTCAAGGTTTTACCTGCAGATACAGAACTCACCTCCCAGAGATTTGATTAACGTCCAGTGTGGTGTGGTAGCAACAAGGAGATCCTCCATCTTTATCAGGAGAAGTTTTGTTAGAATGATTTCAATGATGATAGATGCCAAAATCAAGAGCATTTTGGAAGGGTCTAATTAGCACCTCAGGAATTTTAAAAAGCCATTGAAATGTCAGTGTAAAATGTGTTCTGGGAATTGTTGCCCATTTCACTTAATAAAAAACTACCACATTGCACACATTTTGAATCGATGACACACATGCTGAAGAGTCATTACCTATAAGTCTTCGTATGAGTTCACGAATAATGGTATAAATGTTTTGGGAAATAAGCTGTGTTTTAAAAAAATCTTAATGAGAAAACTGATGTTTACCTTCTGAAAATTTTAATTCCTCAAAAATGGAGAATATGAAGATACCGAAATCTCTCTCAGCAGAGCTGAGGAGGTGTATTTACTCTCAAATTACAAACTGCAGGTCCCTGCGTTCTGATAGCTGGGCATCGTCTCTACTCCACGGGGATAACTCTCCTCCTCCCACTTTGCAGAAGGCATCTTGCTGTTTGTCTTGAGAGCCTAATTTTAGGTTTCCATTTCTGTTTTCTGGTGTTTTTTAGTTGCCACATTGGTTTTAAACCTAGCCAATTAGATACATGAGGGACAGGAGTCGAAGGGGCTTGACCCATTGGAACAACAAGGAAGTTTAAAGCCCCACATGAAGAATCCACAGACACAAAAGGATGGAAGCTTCCCCTATTTCTAGGAGCCAAAGACAGTCCTAAAAACCGTACTTTGGTGCTTAAGACACGGAGTGCGGAACATACAGAATTCCATGGGAAAATGTGTTTCTCTTCCAAAAAGACTGAATGTACAGAAAATGTCCTTTTGAAATAAACTTCCCCAAGTTTCATGATAGGGTTTTAAGAGTTCGAGTCATTACTGATTCCAAATCTTAGGGTAGCCTTCACATGTCTCGGGGTTGCCACTGCCAGCTTAGTCACTGAAGCATATTTTATGCATTAATCTGTCCTCTTGAGGCTAGAGATGCCCAAGGGACCCCTAATGTGTCTGGGTGTCTGGCCTGGGGCCCCAGTTGGGGCAGAAGTAGTGGTTCCCTGGAGTGGCTGGTAGATTCTGCACTCAGCACCCATCCGAGCTGGCTAATGGGTGTCTTAGCTTAGAAAGGCGGTCATTGACTCATTCGTGTATCCGATTATTTAGGAAGGGATGTTCTACTATGTTCTACATGCTTTTCAAGATGCTAAGGACATACTGTTTAACAGACAAAAATCCTTCCCATTTTTGAACTAACATTTTAGTGGGGCAGACACCCAAACAAGAAAATATGCAAAAAATACAGTACATCAGATAGCGATAAGTGCTAAAGGGAAGGGAAATAGGCACTGTCATGTGGGCGTCTGGGGAAAGAGCCTTGCAGGCCAAGGCAAGAGCAAGTGCAAAGGCCCTGAGGCAGGAAAGCCTCCCGTGCTGGAGGGTGAGGCAGGAAGGCAGAGCCAGGGGGAGAGTCAGAAGGGGAAGCGTTATTGGGGGAGCAGGTGACAGCAAGGAGCTGGCTCTGAAAGTCACATCACGTTATGAGTCCCTTCCCTGAAGGCATTTACAGCTTAGTAGGAAAGATGGAAGTTAATTAACTAAATGCATAGATGATAAATTACAGTTGTGGCAAGTGCTGCAGAACCGCCCAGGAACTCAAAGGAGCACCCTCCTGCCGAATGGCTGAGTTCTGTTTAGTCCAAGAGGGTGGCGGGGGTCTGAAAGCCTGAAATTATATTTGCTACATCAGGGAGGGACAGCACGGCCCACCATTTAGCCTTGTTGCTTCTGTGATGAAAGCAATAGAGAGAGAAATTGTGGACTGTTGGAGATGGTTCACAATCGCTGAAGCCATGGTAACAGAAACAAAATGGAGCGTTTTCATCCCAGACTGTCAATGCCAGACCTCTACTTTTGATGGCTGTGGGTGGGGGAAGGTGGCACTTTTTGGGGCAAGCCGTCCTTCTCGCTAGGAAATAGCCCAGACTTGGAGAGTCAAGGCAACCCTGGAATTAGTGAGCAGGTCCCAGAGAGATGAGAGAGAAGGCTCTTGAAATTACAGATGCGAGAGCTGGTCTGGGTGCTGGACAGGGACCAGAGGCAGGAAAAAGAGTTCTCTTTTATTACCAGCCTTCCAAACGGAGACCTGAGGAGGAGTTGGGGCCAGTGGCCAGCAATATGCTGTGATGACCCCTCACTTGGACAAATGTACAATTAATTACTAACTTAGATACGGCATTTGGCCCACTGTTCCCACCCTGACGTTGGGCCCTCCCCGTCTGGGTGTCTGAAAGCACTAGATACACACCGCACATTGGCACTCCGTCACTAAACTGTCCTCTGCTGACACTGTGTCCCCGCCTTCCCCTAAGAGATGGCAAATGATGTCAGCAAGAGTCCTTTCTCACACGTCCGTGGAGTCCCCGCAGAGGCAGGAACACGGGGTCTCCCACTCAGACAGATGCCTATTTTTTGTTGAGTTAAATCATGTTACTTATTTGTTATGAAAACAAAATGGTATTTAATGTTATAACCCATTTTATGGATGAAAAACGAAGATTCAGCAA